CCTCGGGGGACCCTTGCTTTATATAGCATTCTCTGGGCAGTTTGCAAGGTCAGCATGTTTGTCCCTGACGATCCAGGCCCTCGTTTTACCGACCTCGGAAGGTTTGAATCAAACCTTGAGCCAGTCGGGATCGAACTCTTGGCAGTGGGCAGAGTCAGCCTGCAATGCTGCCTTCTAACCACTCCCGTCCCCGGGGTTTCCCTCCAGATCTGGAAGGGCTGCGGGCTTTCCAGAACCAGATCGCCGCCATCCAGCGGGACGCTGTGTGGTGGTTGCACACCGTGGTGCCAACCATCACCAAGCTGGCTCCGAAAGAATACATACACTGGTAAGAGAAGGGACCAGTTGGGGTGCATGTGCGTGTCGGGGAACCCCCTCTTTGCCAGGGGGCTCCCTGAGAACTTAACCTGATCCACGTTTGTCTCCTCCCTTCTCTTTTAAAACAGCCTGCACAAAGTCCTGTTCACGGAGCAACCCGAGACCTACTACAAATGGGATAATTGGCCCCCAGAGAGCGACCGCAAGTAAATCTGGAGCTGGACTTGAACCTAGAACCCTGCAGTGGTGGGGTTGGGAGTGGGGTGTGTCTGTGTGCGTCAAGGATTTGGGGTAGAATTCTCCTGCTTCTAGATCATTCCTCAGAGTGTAAGCCGGCTCAAGTTATGCTGCTCGTTGGCTGCTGAAACTCAAGCCTTGTGACTCGGAAAACATAATCAGTGGCTTTGCCCAGTACCCAAACCACCATTGGTGGTTTGTTGAGAGCATTGGAAGCCATGTTAAAGACCCCACTCCAGGGTCTGTTTCTGTTGCTCCCCTCTGGGAAGAGGTTTCAAAGAATCTATAGCAGGACTACTAGATTCTGGGCCAGCTTTGTTCTCTAGGCCACCCGTCTCGTAAACTCGCAATATTATTTTTTTTTTTCTGCCCTGTGTATGTATACATGTGAACTAGACTGTGACGTTTCTCTCTTGTCGTATATGTGGGTGTATGCATGGTGGTTTCTTTTTTGAGAGCTGAATGCAAGGAAATCTCATTTTAACATGTACCGATTAATGTACATTTAAAGCGACGATTTAAGTTGAGTTCTATTATTCTGTTGGGAAGTGCGATGTGGTGTGGTGGCCAAGAGAGGGAGCTCTCGCCTCCCAATCAGGAGGCTGTGAGTTCGATCCTAGGCAGAGGCAGATATTTCTCTCTCTGGGCACGGTGAGAATATTATCTGCTGAACAAAACTCCGCCTTGGTGACAGAAAGGGCATCCGGCCAGTAAACACTCAGTTCCTTTCAATTGCCCAGACTCCACCCTGCAAGGGATTGCGGGGATCATTCAAAGGAGATGATGATTCTGTTGGGAAGTGGGTCTCCCCTCTGTTGTTCTGGGTGTCGACCCGCTAAGCATCCCCCCCCCTCCCTTCTCTTTCCCGGGCAGCTTCTTCCTCCGCCTTTGCTCCGAAGTGCCAATCCTTGAGGACACCCTGATGCGCATCCTGGTCATCGGTCTGTCGCGGGAGCTTCCCCTCGGCCCCGCCGACGCCATGGAGCTGGCCGACCACCTGGTGAAACGGGCAGCAGCCGTGCAGGCGGACGGTGAGCCTCCTTGGAGCCATTCTTTGCCACCCCTGTGAAGCAGCAGCAACGGCTGATCCCAGCTTCTTCCAAGTTCCCTGGGACCGTTGGTGGGTGACCCACACGACCCCGGGATGCTGCAACCCTCATGAATGTGCGCTGATCGCGATCAAACGGCTGCAGGGACGCAGAACGTTCCTAAGCGTGAGGATTGGTTGCAAGTTGTCTTTCCCAGAACCTTTGTAAAATTGAATGGTTGTTAAGAGGAGTGGTTATAAATTGATGATTACCTACCCTCCTTCCATAATAGCCATAGCACTTGGACTGACATACTGCTTCGCAGCGCTCTTGCAGCCCTCTCTAAGCGGTTTACAGAGTCAGCCTCTTGCCCCCCCCCAACAATCTGGGTTTACTGACCTCGGAAGGATGGAAGGCTGAGTCGACCTTAAGCCAGTCAGGATCGAACCCCTGACAGTGGGCAGAGTCAGCATGAAATTCTGCATTCTAACTACTTCGCCACCACGACTTCCTTCCGTCCTTCCTTCCTTCCTTCCTTCCTTCCTTCCTTCCTTCCTTCCTTCCTTCTTTCCTTCCTTTCCTTCCCATCCTCCCTCCTTCCCATCCTTCGCAAGCTACAGCAGACTTATATCCCGCTTCAGGGTGCTTTTACAGCCCTCTCTAAGCGGTTTACAGAGTCAGCCTTTTGCTCCCAACAATCTGGCTCCTCATTTGACCGATCTCGGAAGGATCGAAGGCTGAGTTGACCTAGAGCCAATCAGGATCAAACTGCTGGCAGTTGGCAGAATTAGCCTGCAATGCTGCATTCTAACCACTGCGCCACCATTATTTCCCTCCCTCCCCCCCTCCCCTTAGCACTTAGACTTACGTACCGCTTCACAGTGCTTTAAAGACCCCTCTAAGCAGTTTACAGAGTCAGCCTGTTGCCCCCAACAACCTGGGTGACGACTATAAAACATGTATAAAAGTTGAAGTTTTGGGAGTGTGGCTCGAGGCTCATGATTTAATTGGAGTAACTGCCGGAATCCTGGCTCCTCATTTGACTGACCTCGGAGGGATGGAAGGCTGAGTCAACCTTGAGCCTGGGGAGATTCGAACTGCTGGCGGTCGGCAGAGTCAGCCTGCCATACTGCCTTCTCACCACCGCGCCACCACGGCTCCTCTTCTCCTCTGTCCCCTGCGCTGCCTGGATCAAGAATTTCTCTTTGGTTGTTCACTACCGCTGTAGAAATCCGGCACAACCTGGTGCAGATTATTTGCCAGCCCCCTTCGTGGTTTATATACCTTGCTCCCCTTTCTGGATTCCAGATCTCGAAGTCTTGAGGGTGGAGCGGATTCAACTGATCGACGCCGTCTTGAACCTGTGCACTTACCACCATCCTGAGAACATCCAGCTGCCTCCAGGGTAATCGTGAAAGAGATTCTTCCTTTTTGGGGGTTGTTTTGTTATTCTCTTTTTGGACGTCAAACGTGGGGCAATAAAGCCTATTTTGTTTTTCTTTCGTGCATTGCATTATTTCGTTAAAACGTATAACAAGATCCCGCTGCATATCCTTGGCTCTCCTGCAGGTACCACCCTCCAAATCTGGCCATTTCAACCCTCTACTGGAAGGCTTGGCCCCTGTTGCTCGTGGTGGCTGCATTCAACCCGGAAAACATCGGTGAGTCTTACGGCGGGAATCCTTTCCTGCAAGGTGTGTGTGTGTGTGTGTGTGTGTGGCATGACTGCAGGTATCTGTTTTCCCTCCCTGAGTCTGCACAGATACAACATCTGCACAGACACACTTGCATACAAAGCAGAAGGGGGGACAATTTTTTTTTCAACTTTGTCCTTAATGAATTTTGCACCGTATTATTGCTGTTCTTACCTTCTGTGTAACGTTCTTGCTATGGGTAGCACAGGTAGCCCTGGATTTACGACCACAACAGGGCCCCGGATTTCTTCTGCTCAGTGTGACATTTGTTAAGCGGGTCTCGTCCCCAGTTTACAACCTCTCTTGCCACAGTTTGTTAAGTGAACCACTGCAGCTGATACATTAGTAACCTGGTTATTACGTGAACCTGGTTTCCTCCTTGATTTTCCTTGTGAGGACGTCACCAAAGGGGATCGTGTGACACCCGCATTCAAAGTTTTGCAGCGTGAATCCAGCTCCAGAAAAATAAACACAGAGGGCTGACGCTTCATTTAATGTCTTTGTAAACATAATAAGTATTTTTTTTTTACAAACCAGTTGTAGATTTCTCCAACATGGAGCAAACTCAAACAGCAAACGTGTCACAAGTTCAGAGCTTCAGCAGCAACTTCAGAAACAGACCTCAGTTTCGCTTTAGTTCAGCAGGCAAGCATTACACACAGCAGAGGAGAGAAGCCGTTTCATTTTCAATGGACAGACTCAGAGCTCAACACAGCTGCAGAGCTGCAGAGCTTAATATAGAGCCACGCTTAGGCTACTTCTAGTTTAAGTTTCCAAACAGTCTTCATTGGCTGACTTAGTTGCTATGCTTATTCACTGGCTGACCTTGCTACCAAACTCTATTCCAGTTCATGAATATACTCCGACAAACCATCATAAAAATGAGTCAGTTGCCAGCATCTGGATTTTGATCTCAGGGATCCTGGGACCTTTGCTGCAAAGGTCGTAACTGTGAGAAACGGCCATAAGTCCCTTTTTTCCCCAGTGTCATTGTAACTTGGAACGGACACTAAATGAACTGTTGTAAGTCAAGGACTACCTGTATACTACTGGTATAAGACTTTTTCGTCTTACAAAGGGCCCCTTTCAAATTGTTTTTCCTTTAAAATGGTCCTAATGACCTGTCGGTGATTTTGCAGAGGTTTTGTTTGAGGAATGGCCGGCACTCTGATCGCTGCATGCAATGTTTCTGATTTTCCCCTGGTTTGATTGGCAGGTCTCACGGCTTGGGAGGACTATCCCACACTAAAGATGCTGATGGAGATGGTGATGACCAAGTAGGTTCCAACTTGGGAGAGTCTGTCCTAAATTTCTCTCTCTTTCCCGTCTTAAATTGTTTTAAGAGTTTCCGGCAGAAATTCAGATCCAGAAATCACACACACATGACGGATTCGGCAGGATTCTTTAACTTCTTTATATACATAATAACATTTGAAGTGAAGTTTACAATATCAAGGGTATATTCTCTCAAGGCGGTAAAGGTTACAAGCAAAAACCCAAGAAACAGCTTCAGAGCTGACAGCATAGAGCTAAGCCACGCCCAGGTTCCTTCCAGTCTCAGCCCCCAATTGAGCTCCCATTGCCTGACCTTGTTACCCATGTCCCTGCCAGTTCATGAATATCTTCTTCTTTCTCTCTATATGAAAGCAAAATACCACTCATGCGTCATCACAAAATCTCCAGAACCATAAAGCCTACGAACTTGAAATTTGCCACGTATGTTCCTCTTGGCTTCTAGGTGCTCACTAAGAAAGGATTTTTTGAAATGACCCTCAGAGCATTAGTGTTTCGTATATTATTATTATTAATACCCTCCGATGCTAAGGAGCCCCACCTGAAAAGAAATCTGTTCCAAATAGAGGAGAGGAGTTTCAGTTTCACAGCAGCACCAAGCAGCTTTAGCCCAGAACACTTGAGCTAAGCCACGCCCAGGCTCCTTGCTGTCTTCTTGTTCACACAGCAAATACTCTTTCAGTTTCCAAACAGCCCTCAACTCTCTCACACAGGACACTAGCCAGATGAATACTGACGGATGCTGGTAGGCAGAGGCACAATTTTTCCCTTATTTTCCTCCCCACATGCTAAGCCCAACCACATAGTTTCATAGTGGGTATCGAGCTAGTTCTGAAATAAATGAAAAGGCGGGAGGTTATTCCAAGCTTTTTTTTTCTTTTCTCCCGGCATAACATCCAGTTCTTAAAACGGCCTCGGCCTCCCCTTCCTTCCTTCCTTCCGCCAGCAACTACTCCTACCCTCCCTGCACTTTGACTGACGAAGAGACCCGTACGGAAATGATCAGCCGCGAACTGCAGATCTCCCAGCGGGAGAAGCAGGAGATCCTGGCCTTCGAGGGCCACCTGGCCGCGGCCTCCACCAAGCAGACCATCACGGAGAGCAGCAGCCTCCTGCTGTCCCAGCTGACCAGCCTGGATCCCCAGTAAGAAGCCCTGGTGATTCTTCCGAGGGGGAGACTCACCCACCACCGCTGGAGGCTCCAAAAGCTGGGGCAAGATTCTGTCCCGTCCTTGTCCTCCGTCTTCACCTCTTTTGCTCCTTTCGCAGGGGGCCTCCTCGCAGGCCGCCTCAGCCCGTCCTGGACCAGGTGAAAAGCCTCAATCAGTCCCTGCGCCTGGGGCACCTCTTGTGTCGTAGCCGGCACCCCGACTTCCTGCTCAACATCATCCAGAGGCAGGTGAGTGGCAGTAGCCGTAGCCCGCAGACTTATATATCGCTTCACGGTGCTTCCCAGCCCTCTCTGGGCGGTTTTACAGAGTCAGCCTCTTGCCCCCCCCCCCCACAACAATCTGGGTCCTCATTTTACCCATCTTGGAAATGATGGAAGGCTGAATCAAGCTTGACCTGGTCAGGATCGAACTCCGAGCAGTAGGCAGAGTCCATCTGCAATAGCCATAACTCTTAGACTTAAATACCACTTTACAGTGCTTTCACAGCCCTCTCTCAGCGGTTTATACAGTCAACCTATTGCCCCCACAACAATCTGGCTCTTCCTTTTACCCACCTCGGAAGGATGGGAGGCTAAGTCGACCTTGAGCCAAAGAACCAAGAACGAGACGTGGAGTTACCTCTGAGTAGATTCTGGCTTGCCATTCGCCTGCAGACAGAATCTTGCCGGACTGAAGCAGTTCTCCGCAATAATCATAGATCTTATTCTGCAAACTGCTAAGGAGAGTCCGACCTTGCTCGCTTCCCGCCCTCCAGATATTCCAAACTCTGCTGATTGTTTTGGGGCCTCTGGGAAAGAGCCCCTCCTTTCTGCAAACTGCCCCCTCCCCCCAAAAAAATTGCAACCTTCCCTTTCCCCCAGATGCAACAGGCACCCCTACCCCACTCCAGGGGCATCCTTTGAATTCGCCGTGCCCTCCCTCGTTTCCCAAACTATGACCTTCGTTCTGCTTCTCTCCTGCTCGACTGGATTCCTGCCTCTTCTTCCTCGTTTGTTAGGCTTCTTCGCAGTCCATGCCGTGGCTGGCAGACCTCGTCCAGTCCAGCGAGGGCTCGCTGGACGTTCTCCCAGTCCAGTGCCTTTGTGAGTTCCTCCTGCACGACGCGGCGGATGAGTCGGCCTCTGGAGAGGAGGAAGAGGAAGGAGAAAGCAAAGAGCAGCGGGCCAAGAAGCGGCAGGTAGGCGGTTCCTCAGGTTTCCCGTTCTTTGAAAAGCAAAATGGCCGGCTTAGGAAGCGGGTTGACGGAGTATTTGTCGCCCACCAAGAATTTCATCCTGGCCCAAACACGGCAGGTAGGTCTGGATTGGCGACCCTTCGTTTAGTGGCTGGAATTACAACGGCGCTCGCAAAGCCTCTTACGACCGTCTTTCACACTTAACGACCGTCGCGGCATCCCCAGGGTCAGGTGATCCAAATTCAGAGGGCTTGGCCACTGACTCGTATTTACGACGGTGATAGCGTCCCCCCGAGTCATGAGATTCCCCTTTGGCGACTTTCTGACATGCCAAATCAAGGGAGAAGCCAGATTCACTTCACCACCATGTTACTGATTGCAGGGATTCACTTAACTGTGGCAAGACAGGTCGTAAAATGGGGTGGAACTCAACAACTGTTGTAAGTCGAGGATTACCTGTAGGTTGAAGAACAGGAGTTTCATCCTTCCTACAAGGGTAGCACTTAGCAGTAGCACTTGTACCACTTCACAGGGCTTTTCCAACCCTCTCGAAGTGGTTTACAGAGTCAGCCTCTTGCCCCCAACAATCTGGCTCCTCATTTGACCCACTTTGGAAGGGTGGAAGGCTGAGTCAACCTTGAGCTGGTCAGGATCGAACTGCTGGCAGTCAAGCAGAATTAGCCTGCAATACTGCATGCGAACCACTGTGCCACCACAACTGGTAGGTAGATAGATAGATAGATGATAGATAGATATAGTGTTTATATACCACTTCCTAGTGCTTCACACAGCCCTCTCTAAGTGGTTTACAGCCTATTGACCCCCAACAATCTGAGTCCTCACTTTACCAACCTCAGAAGGACAGAAAGCTGAGTCAACCTTGAGCCGGTAAGGATCGAACTGCTGGCAGTGGGCAGAGTCAGCCTGCATTGCTGCATTCTAACCACCATGCTACCATGGATGGG